TTCTCCTCCCAGGTAACCCCCGCCCGCCCCTCTCTGCACGGCCCCGCATTCCCCCGCTCGCCCCCCAATCTGCGGTCTCATTCGCCGAATTCTCGCATGTAGTATTTTTTGGTTTCTTGCGAAATTGTGATTGCCTGCTCGAATTTATCCCCGTTTTCCCTCCCGGGCTGATGTGAAATTGGCCCCGGTTTGTGACCTGTGCTGTTGGGTGTAATGAGCAGGGGAGGCCGAGGAGGTCCAAGAACGGCCGCTCCTCGCGGCTGGTGGTGCGCGCGGACGCCAAGGAAATCGCCTTCGACCAGAAGTCCCGCGCCGCGCTCCAGGCCGGCGTCGAGAAGCTCGCCAGCGCCGTCGGCGTCACCCTCGGCCCGCGAGGTGATGCTCAGCCGCCTCTAACATATTGCAGCTCGCGTTCATATGCCTGAACCACTAGCTTTTCTGTGTTACTGCGGTGCCAAACCACTAGCACCATGATAAGGTTGTCAGAAAGTTCCACATGTTCAGTATCTGCTGCCAAAACCTGACTGCGCGCTAGCTAATTGCTCATTTCATAATCGGCATCTTCTGCGCACCGCGGTCTGCTGTGTGACCCAATTTTGAGTTAACAGAGCCGCAAAATAGCATGAAGCAAAAGCAATGAATATTGTAATTTTGGGGTTTCACACTGCCTCATTGGTGATGATGCTGCATAATGCTTACTGGACTGCAAGACTCTGAATTAAAACAGAGTACTGTACAAAATATGCCACAAGCACGGGTCAAATTGAAACATGTATAGTTAAGGAATTCCAATCAATAACTGTATAATCTAGAAACAATTTTAGACTCTGAGGGTACCAACATGGAATGCAACCTATTATAGTATTACATGAGCAATACTATAAGACCAAAGAACACATAACATACCCAGACGCACACTTCGTATTACTTGCATAGATACCAATAGTACAACCTTTTCATACTGAATAAAAAGAAACTAACCAGCTACTTAATTTTTTTTCTGATTGGCATTTGACTTTGTATGGAACCTGAGGCTATGTGCATTTATCCAATTTTTTTTCATTTTCTGAAAAAGAAGAAGAAATTTTGGTGTTGAATTGCAGATTTTTGTCATGCAGGCTCTAATCTTTGGATGTTTTACAGGGAGGAACGTAGTGCTGGATGAGTATGGCAACCCCAAAGTGGTGAATGATGGTGTTACCATTGCCCGTGCTATTGAGCTAGCTAACCCAATGGAAAATGCCGGTGCAGCTCTGATTCGTGAGGTGACCTGCTTTTTATTAAGATGTATATTATATTCTTATGTTATTGCAGAAATCAGAATTCCTAATGCATGTTGTCCACTTATTCATGATTGTAGGTTGCTAGCAAGACCAATGATTCTGCTGGTGATGGGACTACAACCGCTTGTGTTCTTGCCCGGGAAATCATCAAGCTGGGTATTTTGAGTGTAACTTCTGGTGCAAACCCTGTATCGCTTAAGAAAGGAATAGACAAAACTGTCCAGGGTTTGATTGAAGAGCTTGAAAGGAAAGCTAGACCAGTCAAGGGCAGTGGTGACATCAAAGGTGATAGTTGTTTCTCTCATGGTCTACATTGTACAGTATTTCTTATTGTACACAGCTTAGCCTTGTGACAACAAGGTAGTCTCTTTCTGAAAGTGAGGCTTGAGTTTAAAAAAATGAGGATTCAGAAGATAATAGGTGCCTAATTTGACGTTTCTTCTTTAGTACGGCTGTTGCCTTTGTTTGATGATTCAGGTAATAGGTTCCTAACTTGGATTCTGGTCTGTACTGCAGCTGTTGCCTCTATCTCTGCTGGTAACGATGAACTAATTGGAGCCATGATTGCGGATGCAATTGACAAAGTGGGTCCAGATGGTGTCCTTTCGATCGAGTCGTCTTCATCTTTTGAGACTACTGTTGATGTTGAAGAAGGAATGGAGGTCTGTTGAAAATTCAGCCTGTATTTTCATCTCCTTTATATCAAATAGCAGTTTCACATTTTTTGACGTATTGTTGATGCATATATGCTGTAATATTCTCTCTCTTCCTGAAGCTTTCTTAAATTTCGACGCAGATTGACCGAGGCTACATTTCCCCTCAATTTGTGACAAACCTTGAGAAATCAATTGTGGAGTTTGAGAACGCCAGAGTTCTTATAACTGATCAGAAGATCACAAGCATAAAGGAAATCATTCCACTTCTGGAGCAGACTACACAGTTGAGATGCCCGCTGTTTATTGTAGCTGAGGACATCACTGGTGAAGCTTTGGCAACTCTTGTTGTTAACAAGCTCAGAGGTATTATTAATGTTGCGGCGATCAAAGCCCCAAGTTTCGGTGAGCGGCGGAAGGCTGTCCTTCAGGATATTGCCATCGTGACAGGTTCGTCCTGCAACCAGTACTGACGTTCTTTTCGTTCTTAGTTTTGTTTACAAGGAGTGCCCATTTTTTTTTATCTTGTTATCTTTCCTGATTTCTTAAACATTTACTTATCCTACAACTACTTTCAGGTGCTGAATACCTGGCGAAGGATCTTGGTCTGTTGGTTGAGAATGCAACAGTAGACCAACTTGGGACAGCAAGGAAAATCACAATTCATCAGACTACGACCACCCTTATAGCAGATGCGGCTAGCAAAGACGAGATCCAGGCGAGGGTTGCACAGCTAAAGAAGGAGCTCTCTGAAACTGATTCCATATATGATTCTGAGAAGTTGGCTGAGAGGATTGCCAAGCTTTCTGGTGGTGTGGCTGTCATCAAGGTTGGAGCAACAACTGAGACAGAGCTTGAGGACCGTCAGCTTCGGATCGAGGACGCGAAGAATGCCACTTTTGCAGCCATCGAGGAGGGCATTGTTCCCGGTGGTGGTGCGGCGTATGTGCACCTGTCTACCTATGTCCCTGCGATCAAAGAAACAATCGAAGACCACGACGAGCGCCTTGGTGCTGACATCATTCAGAAGGTAACATGCGTAGACATCAATATGTTAATGGGTTGAACTACATCGATCTCTTTCATGACAACCAGATGGTAGAAATTGCATGTAGCAGAAAACTAACCTGATAATGGTATTATTCCACGCATGATTATCTTTATCTGTCTGAATAATTTTGCAGCCTAAGGATGTGGGGGGCAATACTTAGTACTTTTCAGGATTATATATCTCTAGAAATGTGGAATAACACCTGTGTACTGTTCTTAAAGTAGTTTGTCGATTCTGCAGGCATTGCAAGCACCGGCGTCACTGATCGCCAACAACGCCGGAGTGGAAGGGGAAGTCGTGATCGAGAAGATCAAGGAGAGCGAGTGGGAGATGGGTTACAACGCGATGACCGACAAGTACGAGAACCTGATCGAGTCGGGCGTCATCGACCCCGCCAAGGTGACGAGATGCGCGCTCCAGAACGCCGCCTCGGTGTCCGGAATGGTCCTCACCACGCAGGCGATCGTCGTCGAGAAGCCCAAGCCCAAGCCCAAGGTCGCCGAGCCAGCGGAGGGGCAGCTCTCCGTCTGATCGAGCTGTCTGTATGTAAAGCTCTCTTCAGGCCTCCCCCGTTTTTTTAGATTTTGCTTCAGTTCAGGCCAAGCCAAGCAGTAGAATTTTGGTTGAGATCAACTGGAAGTGAAAAAGGTCTAGAGTAAGAGTAGGATTGCCATTTTTGCGAATCGAACGATAACCTTCCTCGCCTGATCTGAATGAACTCTTGTGAATCAGAGAAAATCTTCAGCATCATTTTTGAAATAAATAAATACTGGTTACACCACATCGCTCTCCATTGGAAATTTTGCAAGTTATTACTTATATTTGTTGCACATTACAAATTTTACTGTCCGGAAAGATGATCATTTTTCTTCCGGAGGTAGAAGAAGGCCTGGTGCTACTTGCTCATTTTGCCCCGTGGTTTAAGCTATGCCACAAGATATTAAACGCCAGCACCATCACGTCGTCGAGCTCGCGGCCCGCGTCGGTCAGCGGCGACCTCTCGCCGGCCCAGAGGACGAATGCCTTGTCGCAGCGCGCCGGCGTGTCACGAACGTCCCCCAGCAAGGTGGTCGCCTCCGACTCCGTCAGCCTGTCCTCGTCCCCGCCCGTGGCGAAGTCCTTGGCGGCGCGCCCCAGCCGGCGCACGGTCCAGGCGTAATCCTTGGCGCACTCGTCCAGGGCCAGCCGCCGCCGGGGCGAGGTCTCGGCGGCCCGCAGCTGGGCGATGCGGTCGCCGGTGGCCTTGGCGGTCGCCATGGCCATCCTCAACGCGATGACGGCCAGGCCGAGCTCGTCGGCCGTCGCGCTCGCGGGGTCCGCCCCCAGCGTCTTCACACAGAAGTCGTAGTCCTGCGCCCCGCCGGTGCCGACGAGCCTGCACGTGTCCTCCAGCGTGCTCGCCCTCGACGTGCGCGCGTGCTGTGTGAGGAGCAGGAGAACGAGGACGGAGGAGAGAGCTTGGAGAGGGGCCATGGTCGTCTGATATGTTTCTCTGTCCGACTCGAACTATATATAACAAGAGTATAAGGAGTAATTAGATGCTGGCGCTATAAATTTGTGTTTATGGTTTCAAACGTTTCCATTTGTTGCTCATGCACCAAAGTGAAACTCTTTTACTAATTACGCCACACTAAACGAATTTGAATGTATAATGCGAATCAACCTGTGGTTGAGATGGTTAGGTGGACAGTGGTATCCCCAATCCATCAGGGTTCAAATCCTGGTGCTCGCATTATTTCTGGATTTATTTCAGGATTTTCGGCGATGTGTTTTCAATGGGAAGAGACGTTTCCATCGACGACGAGGCGCCTACGGTGACTTCGTAATTCTTAAGATGGTATGCTGGCTCAGTCTCTCGGAGGGTAGGGTGTGCGTGAGTGCGTTCATAGGGGTGAGTGTATGCGCATGTATATGAGCGCTTGTGTCTGTATTGATGCTCAAAAATAGAAAAAAAGAATTTGAATGTATAATAAAGGACCTCGATATATGCCGAACATTCGGGCCGGGACGCGAGCGGTCCGAAATGAAGTTCGGTACGAGGGAAAATATTGTCGTTTAAATATTGTCGTGGGAAACAAAATTAGTTTCGGCCCGAACAAAATTAGTTTTTTTTTCCGAGACAAATTAAAGCCTAGATTTTTTTTCTTCTCATTAACCAATTGACATTCACTCTGGGCTTCATCATGACGGTCATCCCGAAAAGGATTATTTAATAAAGTTGCCATCATGAACAATAAGAAGAAAAATAATTTGCCATGGTCCAATGGTATAATACATAAAAAATAAAACTGCCATGGTAATCAAATAAAATCGCCATCATAGTAAAAAAAGACGAAAACACAATTTTTATTGTTATTAGAGAAAAAATCACCATGTTTTATTTCAAAAATAATTTACTTAAAAAGAAATTTATCGAAAAATTGAAAAAGGGAGGATGTATGTACAAAAATGAGCTTGCCATGGTAGACAATTTTTATCGTCCATGTTACAAGAAAAACTTTGCGACGTAACTAAATAAAGTTGCCATCATGAAAAGTAAAAAAAAAGAAAAAGATTTGCCATGGTCCAACATAATAATTTGCCACGTTACAAAAAATAAAATTGCCATGGTGGTCAAATAAAAATGCCATCATGCTAAAAAAATAACAGAAAAAAAAGCCATGGCGGGAAAATGAAATTTGCCGTGATACAGAAAATAAAATTGCCATGGTAGAAAATATAATTTCGCCAACATGGAAAGTCAAGAAAAAGAAAAGAAATTGCCATGTGAAAGCAAAACAAAGAGTTAAAGTTTGCATGTATGTTGAAGTGCTTTTGCCTTGACAGTAGACATGAATTTGCCCAGGGGAACAAAAGGGAAAATTGCCATGGCAAAACTAAAGGGGGAAATTTTGCCATGTATGTTAAAATAAAATTGCCATGGCAATAAATGCAAGTTTGCCATGTCAATTAATGAAAAATATTGCCATGGCAAAACCAAAAAGCAAAATGTTGCCATGTATGTTGAAGTAAATTTCCCGTAACAATAAATGTAAATTTTCCATCTCAATGAATGAAAATATTGTTGTGCGAAACAAAAGGTGAAAATTGCCATGTCAATGAATCCAAAATTTGCCATGACAAAGCAAAAGGAAATATTGCCATGGCAAAATAAAAAAAATAAAAAAATTGCCATGGCAAGATATGTAATTTTGCCATGGCAGTAAAGGTAAATTTCCCATGGGTAAGAAAAAGAAAAATTTGCAATAGCAAATGCAAAATGAAATTTGCCATGGTAATAAAAAATAAATTAACCATGCTACAAAAAGGAAAGTTGCCATGTTCTTTAGGCCTACAGACTGAAAATAACCATGGTAAAATGCGGGTTGAAAATTGCCATGAGTATAATTTGCCATGACAGAATAGTACAATTTGCCATGTTCTACGAACATGGAAATTTCCGCGATCGAATAATACATTTTGCCATGGTACTAAAATAAACTTGCCATCATGAAAAGAAGATAGAGAAGAAGCCATGGTACAAAAAATAAATTTGCCATCATGAAAAAGAAAAAAGAAAATTGCCATGGAACAACTAATTTTGCCATTTGATTTTACTTAATAAAAAACTCCTTATGACTTGCCATGTGGTTTTAACAAGAATTTCCATGTTGCTTAACGGAAATTGCCATGTTTTCACAAAAAACTTGTTCTGCTTTATTTTTGCCATGTACAAAGTAAAAACAAGCTAAGAAAATTGCCATGTTTTCTAGAATAACATGGCAAAAAGGATATACAATGTGCATAGGGGGTTGCCATGATTGAAAAAACTACAAATTAACGAGTTCGTTCTCTAAAAAAACACGGCCATTTTTCTGAATTTGTAAATGGTGACATGACAAATTTAGTCATTATATTCTCGAGGAGAAGATGGCAAACTAACAGAAGCTAGATCCATTTCCCTTTTTTTGTGACATGGAGCGGAAGCTGCATTCATGGAAGGCTGTTCATGTAATTGGTTACCTAGAAAAACGGGGGAAATGATGCAAGCGAGCTCACACACGGTCCAAAGAGCGAGGTGGACAGGATCGTCGTAGCGAGAAGGGTATTGCCTCTGCTTCAAAGTGGAGTGGATGCACCCCATGGCCTAGCTCATCGCGGCCGCAGACGGGCAGATAGCGCCGGCGCGACCAATCACGCATCACCACCACCTCCACCCCACTGTATAAGTGTAGGGCCGCAACGCCGGCAAGGGATGCAGCGGGCGGGTGATCAAATCCGGGCCATCGGCACGAAATTGAATCTAAACACTCTTATATTATTTTACGGAGGGAGTACATAGTAAGGAGCTTATCTTAAATTTGCCATATACTATTAATTAAAAAATTCAGAAATTTGCCATGTTTTTGTAGATGCACATTGCAAAAAATCTGGAAGAGCATCGAGGGATAGACATGGCAAGGATTGAGGGATGCACGTGGCAAAATCATATTGTGCTTTGTTAAATAAGAAAAAAGCAGTACAACTCAAGATGAGATGCACCATTGCACAAAAGGAAGCTCCTAGAAATGATTGGACAGAGGAATCAACACTGCAGACAATGCCACTCTACTGTGTGCACCGAATGTCTGTTACAATAAGAAAGCTCCTACCGCCGCGTCCACAAAGCAGCATCTAGTTACAAGCAAAAAAGAGAGGTGGGTGCTCACCGGATAGGGCCACAGTCGATGATGTTTGGGGATGCGACAGATGATGTAAGACCCAAAGCGACAGGAACTGGCAGTGGAGGTCTTGCCGGCGCGCACGACCGGAGCTGCCGCAGCGACGACGGGCACACACAACTACACAAGAGCATCTCCCTCCCGGCTTCAGATCGGGCGCGGGCACCCGCGAGCCTGATCTCCTACCCTCCAAAACAGCAGCACGACCAGGCATACGGCCGGTCTATCTGCCGCCGTCGACACGGGGCCGCGCACCGAGAAACTGTCGGTGAGACTTGAGACCGCCCCTCCACCAGGGGTCGAGGTGGCTGACGGAGACAACGCGCGGAAAGGAGCACCTCCGGTCCTCACCTCCGGCCCACTGGAATCACGACACCAGCAAGCGTGGGTCCCTCGCCTCCGCCGCCGTCGACATGGCCGCAGCAGCCGAGATCCACCAACCGCATGATGCGCGTGAGCCTCCATCTCCACATCGCGCCACTGAACCACGCTGGGATCGCCGCCAACACCATCGCCGGAGTAAACGAAAGGGCTGGGACGGTGTTGGTGGGGGGTAGATGGGGCGACTGTGTGGCAGAGAAATGGGTAAGGAGTGGCTGGGACGGGGAAACACAGGAGTGGTGGTGGGGGGCGTTCGCGGCGGCAGTCAATTTCCCCGAACGAAATAAAAAGCTGACCTGGCTAATTTCCTCTGCTCTAAGATTCGTACCTGAATCCAATGATGAAAAGCACGTTCGGCCCAAAAGCTTAAAATACTGGTCGTTCAGATGTTATTGATTCCGATAATAAAACAATTTTGCTAAGTACTCCGTCGACTGAGACTTTGTTTTG